TTAATTCAATTAGATAAATTCAAATATTCCAGTTACATGAATTGCTGATTATGTTTTAAATCACGAGTGCAATTCAAATACAATGCAGTTTCGATACAATGAAATTGAAATTACAGCCCAGAACTTTGAAGAAGTGAGACACATTTCTACACACGTTTTTCTTTCGTATACTCCTCTTTCGTCTCTTCTATGGATTTTCTTCTCTTATTACCTAGTAATTCATTATTTTTTAATTCGTGATTTTAGTTCACTTACATTGTAATTCGTAATTAATTTAATTTCATCATTTATATATATATAGTATGTTGTAATTGTATTCCAATTGCAATTACGAATTGTATTGTAATTTAATCGAATGTAGCTCTGATTTACGAATTACAATGCTACTGAATTACAATTTAACTGAATTACAATGTAACTGTATTACAATATGACTGAATTACAATGTAACTGTATCACAATATGACTGAATTACAATGTAACTGTATCACAATATGACTGAATTACAATGTAATTTAATTACTTGGTAATTATAATTCCTTGAGTAATTCAATTGTAATTCCGCACATCTCTGACTCGAAGGCCACCTAAATGTACCTAAATTGAAATTATAGGTTTAGAATTTGAGGTCGTGGATATATTGTCAAAAGAACAATGTACAGTTCCATCGACGATGATTGACTCGAAATTAGGAAGAAGCTAGAGAAAGGTCGCCGGGAAAGGAAAAACGGTGGAGGTACGTTAACGAACAGAAAGACCGACAAAAAACGGGCCTCTCGCGTTTTGCTCAGGGCGAAAAATAATCTGTAATACGGGCTACCGTATTCCTTTTTTGTTTCTCGCCTGTACGGGGCTGGTAATCGTTTTCGGCAGGTAGGCAACGGCTTTTGAGATAGAGATCTACGTAATCGGAATTTTATATCTCTCTCTCCCCTCGCTAGGGCCAACGGGGGTAAATGTATAGTAGCTCGACCCTATTACACTTTTTTCCCCGCTTATTAAATATTTTTTCGATGTGCCGGCGCGCATCGATACGAATTTTAGGTTATTAGGGCGGCACCGTGCCGCAATCGCGACGAATTACACTTCTCGAATTTCCTGTTGGACAGATCAGGACTCGGGCGAGTGGTTCTTTTAATTGGCATCTCGTTTTAGAAAAGCAATCATCATCCTTCGCTCGCTTCGTCCTCTTTTGATTGTATTCGGACACCCAATATGGTTCGCGTGATTTAATTTTATTTATTTTAATTGATTTCGCCTAAACGGATCAGATGCGCTTTCGAATTTTCTGCGTAAATTTAACGCAATATTGTGTTAATAATATAATAATATATATAATAATAATAAAAAATAAATTATATATATAATATAATAATATATAATGTAATAACGTTAATGGAATAATAATATAACAATAACGATAATAGTAACGATAATAGAATAATAATAAAAATGAAAACAATATGATGACAATATACCAAGCAAACACAAACGAAATATTCCAGCTTCTGGTAACATTATACGTATAGTAGATTTTTTAATTGATTAAAATCATCAATGAGGAAGTTAATGTCGTTGGTATAAGTGTTGGCTACATTGTGGATTTTTTAAATTAATCATTTTGGTAATATGCGTTACTCGATTCTACTTTTATTGC